CCAAAAAAAAACAAAACAAAACAAAACAAAACAAAAAATTTAAGCACATTAAAGTTTGTTACCAAGCATCACCGGGAAGAACTTCATCTTCTATCCCATGCTCCCACATTTGCCTGCTGTCCTTTTGTCTTCCCACACAGCTGTTAACAACTTATCTTGTACACTTACAACTGAACAAAATAACCTTTATCTCATCACCTCCTTTGGAAACACTCTTCCCTCACCTATTCCTTGTAGAATGAAGTCCGTCTCATGCAAACACCCAAAGGACCAGCAGAAATTGGTTGCCTGGTACAACTGCTATTTAATTGATGGCTTCTTGAACTCAGTGGGGATGTGGAGCTTCAGCAGAATATAATACAAAGTTCACATGGCAGAATGCGGTGGCTTCTAAAGGCTTCCTAAAAGCACCTTCAACAAACCCAACCTTCTAGTTTAAGACTACACAACCAAGAGCAGACTATGATAAACATTCAGTTCATTTGACTGAGAGGATACAAAACAAATACTTATTTCCTCTACCTTTTTACTGACATTTTTAGCTTAGGTTTGTTTACCAAGTCATCAGTTCTCAATATATTTCACAGTTTTTGTAACTTTACAAATGTTCATATGATATGGGATATGATTTAGTCTTCACATCCTTCTTTGTCTTCTGCAGTGTTCCAAAATGTTTATCTATTACAAACTGAATTACTGCCAAGTTTCTAACAAAATCATTTTGATTTTTATTATGGGACTCTGACATCTATCAGCTAGAAAAATAATCCATACCCAGGGGTAGTGTGAAACAAGAATAAAGACACTTGCCTAAAGTTCAGTGAAAAATGGGCATGAAATATATTCCAAATGCATGGTTATGTGTCTCTTGAGACGTTTGGGGTATTAAGTTCTTTAGAGAACAGACTGTACCTTCTTTACACTTGGCAGTATACTTTGAAAACTCCCAAGTAATTACATGATGATGTTTCAGCATTAAACACACACACACACCTTTCCTCCTTACAAAAAGCAGAAGCATTAGAGATGACATCTTCCATCAAGATCTGTTCATTAGATTGACATTTCCCAGGATCTAGCTATTATAAAATATTTAGTATTTCAAATATTATGCCCATGGCCTTTAGTGATGTACAGTGGACTATTTAGAACGCTGCTTACAATGAGGGCTACAAAAATGCAAGACGGGCC